TGTTGTGATGTTTGGTGTCTTAGAATCCGTCCTCCTGGAGCCAACAGCTCTCATGGGTTGAGTATGCGCATAACTCGTTACCAGTATCGTCCACGGGCCTCTCTCCATTTGAAGGTAGTCTAGGGTACCAGCCACCAATTTTTCAGAACCTGGAATCCAAAGTCGCGTTCCCCTCCGCTCACACCTTTGTCCAGAGGTGCCGTCACAAGCGTGCGCACAAAGGCAAAGGCCGATCGCCACCGGTCTTAGCCTCCCGAATACGTCGTTGGTCAAAAAGTGTGGCTTTCTACTCAGAACATTCCTCTCCGCACCATTTGTAATAAGCTTGCTCCTAAATTTATTGGCCCGTTCACTGTCACTAAAATCCTTAGTCCAGTGGCAGTTCGCCTCAAACTTCCTCCGGTATACAGGAGAATTCATCAGTTTTTTCATGTTTCCAAATTAAAACCTGCGTTTCGTTCACCCATTAACCCGCCTGCCCCGGTAACCAATCCACCCCCCACCCCCTCTGCCCCCTGCCTTTGTGGATATTACTGCCAGTCGTTTGTGGATTTACTTGCGTTTGTGGATTGTACTGCCTATCGTTTGTGGATCACGTTTTCATTGGACTTTTGTCTTGGAATTCATTCAGCTGCCCATTGTAGTCCCTGCGCTGCCGAGGATATCTTCTGCACCACAACTTTCCTGTTTATTCTGCTGTTGCCCATTGTTCTTCATTTAATAAACTTTTGTTTATTTGCAACTGAATCTCGAGTCATTATTGCTTACATAGGTCCTGACACATTGATGCCATTTTCAAGACACTCCAAACTGAAAAAAAAAAAAATTAGGTCAAGGGCGACAACTGATTCATGCATGAGTTCCTTCTGTCTGCGTTGTCTAATGTGACAGCCAGTTATTGAAATACTGTGGTCTTTGTTTCCAGTCAAGTTCCTTTTGATGTCTAGTAACCTGTTCTTGAAAACAAAAAAAGACTGAGTGCAAGAAAGCTTATGTGTCAAATAACTAAAGAGCACGTGATTGACAGAGATATATGGCATTCCATTATACATGTTCAGACACTGATAAATAACTGAATAACAGCAACAGTTAATTATTATAATAAAACGGTTAGTTCAGGTCCTTGGTTCTGATTGGTTGAGCCGTGTTCGAAGTTGTTGTAAAATTCCCAAAAACGCACAGCTGACCGCATTACATAAGTATCACTGCGCCACCACTGAGTGTGTATGTTGCTGTGTCTGTGTGTTGCTTCCCACATGAAAAAATACTATAGTAATTTATAGTAAATACTATAATGTTTTTGAACCATACTATAGGAAAGTGTATTATACTGTATATATTATAGTATTTACAACACTTTGTTAATGAATGCTACAGCATACTGTAGTATTAACTATAGTGAACTGATAAACTGTAATAAATACTGTGGTATACTTTAGTTTTTACTACAGTAAATTGTAGTATATTGTAGTAAAATATTCCCTATAGTTGTAGAAAACTTAGTACAGTATTGGGTAAAGTATTTGTTTGTATTACTATATTTGTTATATTACCGCAGCAACTATAGAATTACCACAACAAATTATTCCAAGTACTTTACAATAGTATGGTTCCAAAACCCTATAGTATTTACTATAAATTACTATAGTATTTTTTCATGTGGGTTGGCAACAATTAGCCGGTACATCAATGATCCACCAATCATCCAGTCCTGGTGTCTTTTAAAAGATCCCGAGTTTGTCATTAGCAACAATGTTTTCGTTGGAGTAGTGAAAAAACTTCGCCGAGAAGGATGTGACAAAACATCCCACCATCCTGCGTTAGCGGAGGCAGACTTTCAGAAAATCAAGCACTCTCCAGCACTAAATCCAAATACACATGAGGGTCTTGTCAATAAAGTCTGGTTTGATGTGCAGCTGCATATGGGATGCATAGTTAAAGAGGGTAACTGCCAAATGAAGCCCGAATCATTTATCATACGCCGGGACGAGAATGGCCAGAAGTTTGCTGTCTTTCTGCCTTTCTGTCTTTCAATGAATGCACAAAAACCCACAAAGATGCCGGTGAAAGACACAAAGACGGGGATTCGGCTGTGTCCTGTCGCTTCACTGGAGAAATACCTGTCGTTGTTGCCGCCCAATCCACCAGCCTTTTATGTCCATCCAAAGCGGACAAACTACACAAAGGATGAATGGTAACTTAAAAATGGAACTTTAGATAGTTTAAATTTTTATTTTGTTGCATATTATTTTACTTTCTTATATATATATATATATATAGTTGCATAGTCTTCTGCAAAAATAGAAATAGACTTTTGCTTTTTGAATGCATATGATGCCTGACATCTAAAAGAAAAAAAAAACCTTAAGTAACATTATTAGATACTACAGCAGTAAAGTGATTACTTTGAGGTAGGCTTTTATTTGAGATACAGTGGGTTAATATGACTTATTTTTCAGTGTTACAATTGCCCCCCACCAAGGGGGTACTTGTAACACTCTGACTTCTTGTATTTCATTTAATATTACAGTCTTGTCCTTATTAGTGAAAATATATCAATTGTATTATTAATTAGTGCACCTATGACTAGAGTATTTCAAGTAGTCTGTGAGTTATGAAGGAAAATGCATTACAATCGCCCCTGGTCTCCCCTACTTTATCACTGCAACAAAAAATATATTGCCATTTGACAACAGTTACAATGCAACAGGTTACAAGGCCACATTTATATTTCTCTTAACGTAAGGTATACTAGAGAGCCCATGGAGGTGAACTTCCTTGGCTTTATGTTGCCACAGATTTGTAAAGCGGCTGGCACTCAGTCGATCTACATCAACCACTGCTTGCGAAGCACAACTGTACAAAAACTCTCTTATACTGGCCTAGAGGCGAGAGAAATCATGTGAGTGACGGGGACATAAACGTGAATTGTCCCTGCAATCTTACTGGCACCCAGACTACAATGAGAGAAGATGCTGGAGCAACATCCTTGCCTCTGGCACCGCGCAAATAAAGCGCACCTGTACAGAATTGGAAACTCCTCTTTCAGCAAAGAGGAGCGCAGACATATTTCATCCATTCTTCAGCAATTGGACAATTAATGGCGATATCCAGATAAATGTTAATAAACACTCAAATCTTTAAGCATGCTTCCAAACATGTTTGATCCATTCTACAACAGTTGCGCAATATAAATACTGTTTTATAAAAATAGGCAAATATTGATCTAAAAAAATAAACACCCATATTTGATCCATTCTTAAACAACTGTACAATATAAATGTTGATTAATAAAAATAGGCACAGTTGATCTATAAAAATAGACACCCAAGTCTTAAAGCATGTTTTACACTGTGTCTTTGTTTCTGCATCTGTGTTGCTTGGCAGCCACTTTGTTGCAACCACAGCTGTTTCTGAGGAACTACATTGTTTGGCGGAAGAATAATATTTTTATTAATATCATTAGATTTTATTTGCTTTGTTTTATTTTATGTTTTATAAAAGCAATAAGTCCCATGAAGCCATGGTTTACAGTGAATTTATAAAAGCTAAGGGGGTTTTAACAACATCCCTTAGCTGTTAAACCATGGCTTCTTGGGGCTTATTGCTTTATTACATTATCACACAATCATATTTTTAATGCATAGGGTAGAGTTGTGCCTAAAGTTGTAAACTCTCAGTGATCTAAAGCAATAACAGTAAAGTCTAGATAACAGACCTTTCCACAGATAAAAAAAAAACAAAAACATTTTTTTTCTTTTTTGTAAGGCCATGTATTGTCTAATCAGGCTTGTTCGTGATTCGTAGTTCTCAAGCTTAGCATGCTCTCCATAACATCAGAAGTGCCCTTGAACCTTGCCTTGTTTCACTTCTATTGGCTTAGCTTGGTGAAAAACATACTGCTGTCGTCTTGAGACAAAACAAGAACTACAACTAAAGATTTGGTTCCTCGTTATAGTGAAAACAACACAATAATAGGATAAACTATTTCCAAATATTTTGATGAAGTAAGATGTTAACGTGCACTACTGTTCAAAAGTTTGAAGTTAGTATGATTTTTTAAATGTTTTTGAATAAAGTCTCTTATGCTCAACGAGGCTGCAAAATACAGTAAAACAGTAATATTTTGAAATATTATTGCAAAATAAAATAACAGCAATATTGTCAAATATTATGAACATATTTAGAATAACTGTTTTCTATTTTAATGTATTTTAAAATGTAATTTATTCCTGTTATGGCAAAGCTGAATTTTCAACAGCCATTACTCCAGTCTTCGGTGTCACACGATCCTTCAGAAATCATTTCTTCTTATTATCAATGTAGAAAATAGTTGTACTGTTTAATATTTTTGTGGACAGTTGAGGACAGTGTACTTTAATTAAATGCTACATAGTCTAGGGATTGCTCATTTTTTGTTCCTTAAATGTTTTGTGCGCACTCATTTTTATACACTGTTGCTGAGGTCAAAGTTAGCTTGTCCTGCAGTAACCTCTGTGCTCTGTGAAAATGATTAAAACTATCCTTGGGGCTTTCGCTACTCAAAAAGAACATCATAAACAAGGGTCATTCACAGAGCCGGCAGCAGTAAATCACTGTGGTTTCCTGTAGTACTGCACAGTTACAGTTTTTTACGATTGCTTACACACTAAAATTAAACTTTTCCAACAATTAGCAAAACCTTACACTCAAGGAGCAAAACACAAAGCTAGATTTGCACAACTGTAAGCACACTGTCAGCTTCACACTATTTGCAAAACATTACACACAGTGATTTGCAAAACACTAAACACACTTGTATACATCAGACACAGAAGTATATCATGATGTAACTTCCTTGCAATTCCAAAGCACTGACTGTCAAATGACCACACCTATGAGCCAATCTGTTAAACACAGCCATCAGGTGCACAAACACATGATTGCTAAATTGTAGACACACCAATCAGGTTTAAGCACTATAAAAATGCAGCAGGTAGGCTCACCTGCCTTCAACCAAAATGGAAGGAGTCAGAAGAAGAGTGAGGGTGAGAGGAGGAGTACACAGAGGAGGAGAAAGAGGCAGAGGCCGAGGAAGACCTGAAGCAGGAGGAGAACGTGCACAAAGAAGAAGAGGACCAAACTTATCAAATGACATTCGTGCAACACTAGTGGACCATGTTGTGAACCACGGATTGACGCTGAGGGAGGCTGGACTGAGAGTTCAGCCAAATCTTAGCAGATATACAGTGGCATCTGTCATAAGGACTTTTCGACAGGAAAACAGGTAAAAGAAGATCTGTCTACAGTTACAGTAATCAGCCGCTTATTGTATGCACCATATCAGCACTTGTGATACCCCTTCCTGTGACATTGTACAGTAAGTTACATGTATTATTCTCTACATAGGATTGAGGGTCGGGAACGACAAGGAGGAAGGGGGCCCATATTCACGCAAGAACAAGAGAGAGAGATAATAAACATGGTTTTGGCCAATAATGCTATCAGACTCAGAGAACTACAAGCAAACATTATCGGTGACCATGCCATTTTCAATAATGTCCATCAGGTCTCTCAGTCAACACTGGCACGCATCCTGAAAAGACATCAGGTTCAAATGAAACAACTTTATCGAGTGCCTTTTGAGCGGAATTCAGAGAGGGTCAAACGGCTGCGGCATGAGTATGTGGAGGTTTGTATTGTTCACTTTAGCACTGTGATGTTGCATACTCCACACATTACTTTTTTACATTGACTGTAATATACTAGACCTATCCTGAACTACACAATGTTGTCTTTCACTGTATTTCAGAGAGTTTTGCAGATGGATGCTGAGGAAATCCTGCATGAATTCATATATATTGATGAGGCAGGGTTCAACCTCACAAAAGCAAGAAGGAGAGGCAGAAATATCATTGGCCACAGGGCTATAATCAATGTCCCAGGGCAACGTGGGGGTAACATCACCCTTTGCGCTGCCATTTCACAGCATGGGGTTCTCCTCCGTCATGCCAAAATGGGCCCTTACAACACACCTCACATTCTCGCATTTTTGGACCTGTTTTGACAAACCGGGCCCTGTTTTCAAAATTGTGCTTATGCAATCGTAAAAAACTGTAAAATGTACACCTTGCTAACACAAAGGAAACAGAGAAAGGTCAAACATCTCTGCTCACTGACCCAAGTGAAACTCAATGCTCCAGTGGCACAGTGTTGTTATTTAGCAGATGTGGAGGAACAGCTGCCCTACTTGCATTGAACAAAGGTTACGAGCCTATGATGTAACCGGTCAGAGTTAATTCTCACATTAACAATGTACATTAATTTAAAAGAAGCACAGTATACAAAAAAACTATTAAAACTTAAATCATTGGGGGAAAAAAAATCTAATAAGAAATGTAATAGTCAGAAATAACACTGCAAAACATTTGGCCTTCATCTGTCAATATGATAAAAGCACATATTTCAAAATTTGAAATATTTTCTCCTTTTCTCCTGTATTTCTTCATTGGGCACCATGATGGTGTTTACTGCGGATCACAAACCCTGGTGAGTTTGTCCGACAGTCACCCCTGTTTTTTTTACCCTGAGAGAAAGATGAGACCTCAGGGACATCAAGATGGGGTGGGGGTTATTTGTCTCCGGGTAAACATGTATGTTATGCCATGCACATATCTGCTATGAAGACACCTTCATGTCAGATAACAGTCCATATGTAGATTTACAAGAAATCATTTCTCTCCATTTTCCCCCAGTTCCTCTTTTTAGATGTTGGAGGAAGTTTAACACAAACTTTGATGTCTTTTGTTCAAGTGGCATGACTTTCCTCCTTTAGGGCAACAAACTAGTTTAGCTTAGTAAGGGTGATTTGACTTTGTTTTATTAAGACTACAATTCATATTATTCAAAAACACAGAAACAGAATGTTTTATTGAACATGGAGATATTTCAAAGTTTCTAATAAGTAGCTTTACAAGTTTAATTTGTATTAGATGATGAGATTAATGTTCTTTTAAATTTTTTATGATTTTGTAAGGGTAACAATTGAACAGGCCTTATTTTTATACAGTATGTGAAATATAAAATATAAATGTCAGCAAACATTGCGGGGTCAAAATGATCCGTATAGTGTCTTTTTTAATCTCCAAATTAGGATGAAATGGATTAGTATTTTGGTTTTATCTTAAACAGCTATTGCCTTCAAATATTAGCAAAGCCTTGTATTTGATTCACCATTAGTTTGTACATGCCATGGATAAACCCAATGCTTGCAATTCAAAGAAAGAATAAATAAACACAAAGCACAAGTTCTATTTACTAATTAATTTTAATACTAACAAAGATTTTGACCCAAGCAGATACATTTGAAATTAAAACTAATCTATTGCACAAATTAACTATAGTACATGAGCTGTTGGGATTAATATTAAAATGTTGCAGCATTCAATATTAAAGGTGAAGACAGCAAGCACAGATGCACCAGTCTCACACACACAAAAGTTTAATTTTATAACACACCAGGAGGTGGACAAAAACTGTAATCAAAATAAACCATGAGCCTCTGACCTGAACATCTGCAAATGTGCTTATAGTAGGATCACAGTTTGACAGCTCGTTTCTACACAACAACGGCTGACAAATCTGTGACAGGCCATACTTGCATACAATAGTGCCCTCTCATGGACATACAATGAACACTTCAGTATGTATCAACAGAAACGTTGTCGACCTTCCAAAACTTCATACAGCTACACACAAACACACCATGCTATTATTTTACCGTGGACGTCAGTAAAATGGCAGATAAATTCATATTCTTTGCTTACATCTCATATTTCTAGGGGAAAATGAGCATCATGTCCTCACTTGAGTGCAATTGCCTTTTAAGCAATTTTACACCTATGACCATAACTACATCACATAGCACTTAAATTTGAATTAGGATTTTTAAAAAGTAATCATGACTTAAAACCAAGAAACACCTTCCCTTCTGCTTTACAAGCTTTTCCAGCAAACCAACAATTTTAGACTGGTATCTCTATATTATTTGAACGTTGAATTTTAGGGTTGGTTTAAAGCCCAATACATCTGAAATGTAGTTGGTATTCAGATACATTGTTTGAACTGTCTATATATATATATATATATATGTGTGTGTGTGTGTGTGTGCGCATGTAAATACTACAGCACATAATTTAGATCTTGCCTTGGATCTGACTGAATCTCACATTAAACTGGGAAAATGTGCTATTAGTTCTTCATAGTAATTGTAAAACTCAAGGTAACATTAAACATTCTTCATTAGAAACAATTAAAGAGGAGACCAACTTATTCACAAAGACTTTATTTCAAACTGCGCACAAATGACATTTTACTGCCAACTGTAGAGCTGATGTTGATGCTCTCCACAAGTATTGGTTTGGCCACTGCAGGTCTTCACATGTGCACTGCTGGGAGAAACAGACAAAAGGTTATAAATTACATCAAGCACATCCACAATACTGACTGGTAAAGCCTCAAGTCACTGTTGTATTTTATTATGCCTAATATTGCCTTCATTTACATTGGATGTGGGGAACACAATTAGAGTAATCTAGCACACAACAGTCATTTAAAATAATGTGAACACTGGGAGAGATAAGTTTAAATATTTAGACACCTTTCAGTCAGATTTGCTGAGTATTAAAACTAGACATTCACTTATTATACACAAGACTTTTTTTTTTCATTCACTTAAAACCTGTTGTAGAATTTTTAAGCATCATGACACGAGAATCTGAGGTGATCAATATATTCACAGCAGTGAATGATGTTTACTGACCTAGCGAAGCCTCCTGGCCTCTCTTTCAGACTCCAGAAGTGTCAGGACATCTCCTTCTCTTACTGGGCCCTTCACATTCCTGATTATGGATCTGTTGCTGTCATCCATGAACTCAACGCGCACCTATGGAAGTACAATATGTTAAGACTTAAGAAAAATTCAACTAATACTTTAAAATGAATTAAACTGCATACAAAATTTGACAGCAACAAACCACATTTTTTATGTTCAACTATAATATGCATTATCTAGAAATGTTCATCAATATTACAATAGAGGGTAAAGAACGTAAAAAACGTCAATTTTCGCATAACGTGTCATACCCAGCATAAACATTTGAAAAATTTACTAAATGTATGGGTTCTATCATGTGCAGTAGGTGTGGTTACAAGCTAGGACATTGGTTTCCTGCAAAATACATTGTCACTCTTATAAAGTTACTTTTTAGACAACACAATGTCATTCAATTCCAGGACATAACAAAAATGCTATTTTTCTTAATAAAATAATCCGCAAAAAAGCCCCTGATCATGTTGCATATGACACGGAGCATGAGGAGTTCAGACTGAACTCACCTGGGTACACTGTCCCTGGGAGCCAGTTCTTCCCAGCACTTTTGTAACCTGTAACAAAAACACACGATTAACACCAATATAACGTGATGTGAGGTGAAAACAACATTATACGCAGCTGTTCGCCATCAACCCTACTGGATAGCAATATGCTAATGCTAAAACCTAACGGCAAACATCGCTATATTTTTTTTAGTGTGCTGTGAGAGGATTATAATATTGTTATATAAGACGAATAAGTAAATTATATACATTTCATCTTAAACGTAGTATATTGCATAATTCAAACGGAAATATTCAATAAAATCTTTTTTTCGTACTCTGGCGAGCTTGATGGGCTGCACGCGGCTGGCATCCATGACTTCAGCTTCGTTCGGAAAGGAAGTCACGTGGTCCCGACGGGTTTTATATACCCACAATAAAATGCATATTTTCAATTGATGAGGTTTTATTTTAAGTTATATGTTGGTATCGTTTTAAAAAATGCAAATGGACTAAAAAATGACTTTGTATCAATAAAAAATAGGTTTACAGTTACAACAATCCTGTTTCCGGTTCCGAGATCATGAGGGCAAACTTTTATACTGCAGATCCAAGACCCGCTGTATGTACAAATCACATATCTGAATACATCTGAAGATAATGTGGTCTTTCATTATGTCAGTCCGATTCTTTTTTTTAAACACAAGTTTAAAAAAAACTGATAAAGAATTTTCCATTTGGTCAGAAGTGAGAAAGCAATTCAACAGTTCTCTGCGTATTTCAAGTTTTTCTGCAAGCTATTTACATAACTATGACCATAGATATATGTTCCGTTTATGTTATTTTAGGTTTTAAACATAAGTTTAAAAATACATACAATAAAAAAGATATTATATAATAATAATGCAGGTCTATGAAACTCTGTGAAGTAATAGGATATGTAACATTTGTGTTATAGGCCTAAGTGGCATTATGATAAAAAAACGAACAAGTAAAATATTACGTGTTTCTATTTTTACCCTAAAAATCCATTTCCTTTTTGAATACATTCTTTGAATCTTTTATAACATGCAAAGTAAACAGAAAAGACGTTACTATAAAGTCAAAACGTCTGTAGTAGGCTATAGCTTTAAATGTAAAAAAAAAAAAAAAAAAAAATTGAAAATGAAAAGACCCTGCCAAGCCCTTGTATTACATTTACTTGAGTTGCACAAAAGGATTGTTGTTTTATCAGAACATACTGAAATTGATAAAGAAGTTTCCATCAGCAGTGTTGGGGGTAACGCATTACAAGTAACGCGAGTTACGTAATCAGATTACTTTTTTTCAAGTAACTAGTAAAGTAACGCATTACTTTTTAATTTACAAGAGAATATCTGAGTTACTTTTTCAAATAAGTAACGCAAGTTACTTTTTAAAATTTTTTTATTTATTGATTGACAGCTCTCCTGTCCTCATGTTGAGAGAAATCAGAAGATGTTAATGTAGTTCTAAACTAAATATGAATATGCATTAATTCATCTCTCACAAAAAAAAAACACAGATTCAGTATTCCTCAAAATGAATAAAAATAATGCAACTCAGAATATGACGCAAACCTGCAATAATTAAATGTTAAACAACACAAACAGATTTAAAAAGTAACGCTAAAGTAACGTAACGTATTACTTTCCATAAAAAGTAACTAAGTAA